AATTATATAAAAAGAGAGAGAGAGAGAGAGAGAGAGAGAGAGAGAGAGAGAGAGAGAGAGCGCGCGCGCGCACCCGCGGAGGGTGAGAAGGGAATTTATATATATATCTATTAGCTTCCAATAGGAAAGCTAATCAGACAGAATGGGATAAAGGTTCACCGTTATGCTGATGATATGCAGCTTTATCTAAACCTGACGAATCCAACCCACTGGGTCCATCACAGATTAAAACCTGGATGGTTTAAACTTTATTCTTTTAATTCTGAAAAGACAGAAGTTGTTTTTGGATCAGAACTTCTGAAAGAGAACCTGCTGAGTCATCACTGCATCTGGATGCCATTAAATTACACTTCAATAATAAAGAACCTCTGTGATATTTTTGACCAGGTTATGCCATTAAATCCCATAAAGAAGATTTTAGCATTTCCTTCTTTCATCTCAATATTGCTACAATCATAAACATCCTGTCCAGGAGTGAAAACTGATCCCTGCATTTGTTCCTTCAGGCTTCACTGCTGCAAGTCTTCACCATCAGGAAAAATCCAGAAAATAAAACCCTTCGTCTGAAGCGCTGCTACGAGAGTTCTGACGAAAAAAAGGGATCAGGGAAATCTCTAAACTCCAGGTAATGATAAATCAATCAATCACTACATTATTTCAATAATCAATTAATCCATGTCAGACCTAAAACACTTCCTTCCTGTGTGACATAACAAAAACTGCAAAAGAAATCAGCCAGGATATTGGAGTTCAGCTTCCCTTTGTTGGCTCCTGGGAATCCAGATTATAATTCCAGATTCTGAGATACAACATCCTGGTCTCCCATCAGAGGCCTGATGGGTCCAGACGTCCACCACAGAGGACCATGCATGGCTTTAAGCTGTGGAAGAAGCTCACACTGATGGGTCCCATCGGATCTGTGAGCAGCAAGCAGACGAATCGCAGCCGGTAAAAACCAGCAGAAACACCGTGATGCTCTGACACCAGGTTGGTTCTGAACTGGCTGAATAAAAGAAAGACAGCTGAAAGTTGATCTAGTGAGATCCTTCTGGATCCACCAAACTGAAACAGGATTCCTGCATCGTTCTGCAAATCCAGAGAAACTCATCTAGAGCTGCATCCTCAGTCAAAGATGTCCAGTCCCTTCCCTTCTGGGGTCAAGGGTCAGGAGATGGCCTTGAACCTGAGTGCTGGTGTTCTGGGATGGCCAAGACCTTTAGGACCCATCAGAGGCCCACACTGAGGAACCAGAAACGGTCCATGAATAACTCCAAGATTATTCTCATCTATTTACTGACTTTAACTGGAATATGTTGTTTACTTTCAAATGTTCTGCCAGAAAATCAGTCGGCCCACTCAGGTTTAGTCATCTGGTCCAGACATGGCAGCTCGATGGGTCTCATCGTATTCTACTGGCAGACAGAACCAGCCCAGTATCACCTTCTCTCCTCCAGACCGATCCAAACGAATCTCAAAGGGTTTTCTGTTCCTGAACCAACATGCCTGCAGTCACGACAAAGTGATGTTTCAGGTCCAAAACACTAAAGCAAAGACGCGTTCTGCCCAGACTCTGAAACGTCTCATTATCAAAGTCTGTTAATTCAACGATTCAGAGACTCCAGATAAACCAGCGGTCTGCTGGGTGCTGCTACTGGCCGGTCCTTAAGCGGGGTTCTGTGGAGTAGGGTTCAGCTTTTCAGTCATCTGTGTTTTACCTGCACTATTTATATTATTGGTCCCATTAAAGTGAAGATCAGCAAAGAACATTCACTTCAGAAACCAACAAAACCATCAACAATGCTGGAGCTTCATTTGCCACAGTTGACCGGTTCACAAACCGTCCTGACTGAAGCTGCAGCAGATTTACAACATCTAAAATCAGATGAATTACAGGATCAATCATCCAATCATCAGCTGGCTCTGCTCTCCACCCTGCGTTCTGATAGGCTGAGCCACAAGCTGCCACAGCCAATCCCGTCGCATTGACATGTTCTCCCCAATTGGTCCAGTTTCACTTCCTGATTTTTCTCTTTTTATGATCTAAAGAAGTTTGAGCTGCCATGTTGCTGAAATGTTCAATACTAATAAACCCTGATTGGCTCAGGAGAACACCTGGAGAGCATCATCCATCCATCCATACATCCATCCATCCAGTTGCAGTCTTTTCTTACTGTTCCTTAATTAATGTGATTTAATCTAAAATCTTATTTTGGGGTTCTTTGGGAAGTTGGACTTCGTCTTTAATTTCTCTACGTCTGGATCTCTGCTGCAGCTCTGGACATTTGCTCCATCAGATTTGGATCCTTTTTCAGTTTCTGATGTTTTTCTGCCTTCAAAGTTTCTTTTGAGGCTCATCAGACGCAGCCTGACATTTAGCGTGACGGTTTGTTGGCAGCAGAAAAACGGCTGATTTGATCAGAAAACTGACATTTTCCAGCATTTAAAAAACATTTTTCTTCTCACACAAGTTTAAAGTGTTGAGTCTAAATGTCAGGAAGAGAGACAGGAAGTCCAGGCTGATCTGGATCTAGATCAGGATCTGGATCTAGATCAGGATCTGGATCTAGCTCAGGATCAGGATCTAGATCTGGATCAGGATTTAGATCAGGATATGGATCATGATCTGGATCAAAATCAGGATCAGAATCTGGATCTTTATCAGGATCTGGATCAAAATCTGGATCTGGATCAGAAACTGGATCTGGATCAAAGGGACAACATGAGGAACTGAGAGGAGCCTGTGACATCAACCTTCTTTATTAGACTAGAACCGGTTCTGGGTCGGTACCGACAGTTCCTCTGATTGAGTCACAAAAGTTAAACACAAATGGTTGCTCAGTCCAAGGGCCCAGTCCGAGTTCAGTTGCCCAGTCCAAAGCTGGGGGTTCAGTCCGGTGTGCCCTCCAAGTCATTCTGGTTCCTTCTCCTGTAGCATCAGGACGGATGGGTCCCAGCCCGCCCCGCGTTGTTCAGAACAATCTGAGCCTGAAGGGAAACCAGTGGGCGAGATTCAGGTCCCAGCCAACCATGTGGGCCCCATATGGGATTGGCTTGGGCCTGGACAGTTCTGAATGTACCTGGCCTAAACATGGGGCCCACTGTAGCTACTTTATCAGAACTCAGTTCAAAACATGATGATCAATGTTGCCTCTTATGGAGCCTTTAACCTTTAACCCCTGCACAGGACAAACCCAGGCCAGGGGGTCCAGCTATGGAAACCTTCTGAACTAAACTGTGGGACCCGCATGGGTTCAGTCGTTGGCACCATGTTGGTTGGACCCGATCTCCATCTGAACCAAACATGAGCATTGTCATTAACTTTTAAATCTGGTTGTTTTCGCTGAATTTGAACCTCAACAAACGGACAAACCGAGTCTCGCTTCAGTTTCGTTCAAATTTAGAAACATAAATGATGTCATGAATTCAAAACCTTTTGATTGATTAAACTTCTACTTTGGATCTGATGGCCTCCAGCTCATTTCCTTCCTGGTTGGGCCCACAGATCTCTGCAGGCTGACATACTTTGTTCTGCATGTCGTCCTCCACAACATCCAGCAACGTGTTGGACAACTTGAAGATGGGGCCCAGAGGGGTCCAGTGTGTACTTGCTGGTAGGAACCACTCAGTCTGTTTGGTTATGAAGCCAAGGATAATCCTTGTTTTGGACGATGGGTCCCACCTGTGAATGTCAGATGGGTTCCAGCAGCACTGATGACTGAAAAGCCTCATGCTTGTTCTGCAGCCCTCCAGCTTGTGACCTGTGGCCCCCATGGGACCCAGATGGGACTGGCTGAGCCCCCTTAACCACCATGGATGGTTACATACCCTGCAGACAATCCCAGTATGGGTCCCACATGTAGGCTGGTTTTTGGCTCCATTTGAATGAACCAGTCCTCATGCCCTGCAGCACCTGAAGCGCAGCATGAGTTTGTGGAAGGCCTGCTGGAAGTCCTCGTTGGACATGGTGTAGATGATGGGGTTGATGAGGGAGTTGAGGTACCCGAGCCAGGTGAAGATGTCGAACAGCCCTGGGTGGAAGCAGGACTGGCAGAGAGGCACTAGGAGGGTGTAGATGAAGAACGGCAGCCAGCAGACGATGTAGGCTCCCAGGATGATGCCCAGGGTCTTGGTGGCCTTCCGCTCCCTGGCCACAGAGATGCGCTTCTTCTCCAGCAGCGCGTCCGACACAGTGACTTTGACTTGGCTCACACTGGGGGAGGACGAGGTAGTGTCGCAGGAGGAGGCGTCGTTCGTCCCGTAGTTCAAGGAGGTGGTGGACGCCACGGAGCCGGGGGAGCTGCTGATCAGGTGCGCAGAGGTCAGCCTCTTCCCCTGCTTGTTCTGCGCCTGTTTCAGGATGCGCTTCCGCGCCTCCACGTAGATCCGGCCGTACAGGCATATGAGCAGCAGCGTGGGGATGTAGAAGGCTCCGAAGGTGGAGTAGATGGTGTAGAAGATGTGGTCCGTGTTCACGTTGCAGCTCGTCACCTCCTCCGCCTTCACCTGGCGCCAGAAGAATGGCGGTAGGGAGATGGAGATGGCGATGACCCAGGCGGTGGCGATCATACCAGCGGCGCGTCCCGCCGTGCGCTTCTTGGAGTACTCCACCGCGTCCGTGATGGCCCAGTACCGGTCCAGCGCAATGACGCACAGGTGGAGGATGGAGGCGGTGCAGCAGGTGATGTCCGAGGACAGCCAGATGTCGCACATCACCTGACCCAACGGCCAGGTCTGCAGCACCGTGTACAGCGCGCTGATGGGCATCACCAGGATGGACACCAGCAGGTCCGTGAGCGCCAGGGACGCGATGAGGAAGTTGGCCGGGGTGTGCAGCTTCCGGGACTGGTAGATGGTGGCGATGACGAAGGCGTTGGAGAGCGTGGTGGCGCAGGTGATGAGCCCCAGAGTCACGGCCAGAGCTGCCTGGGGGGCCAGGCTGGAGCCCCGCCGCTCCGCCCCGGACCCGCTGGTGTCGGAGTCATTGGTGGAGAAGTTCAGCAGACCTCCGTAGCTGGCGGGCGACTCCATCCCTCCACCTTCCTCCGTCACATGCCCCGCTCATCGAGCTCCGACTGGCCGCTTGGGAAGCTCTCAAACCCGCATCCAGAGGAGAAGACACCGCATGTCCCGCAGTCTCAGTCAGACCCGCTCCTGCCTCCTCCTCCTCATCCTCACCCGCAGCGGCGCCTGGTCGCCGGAAGCATCTCGACAGCTGCAGAGAAACGCGGCATCCGGCGACCCGCAGCCTGAAACTCGGAACCCGGAGACCCAAGAAGCTCCTCCGCGCTCCGAGCGCCTCCTGCGAACTCCGGAGCCGCGCGGAGACTCCGGCTTTTATAGCGCAGCTTCCTCTCTCTCCTCTTCCTCAGCAGCGACTGACGGGACGCTGTGCTCTGCGCTCAGCCTCCAGTTCACTTCATTTCACTCCTTCAGCTGGAAAAAAAAAGGAGCTGGCGGCGACCAGAGGCATTTAGACTGAAGGCGGGAGCTCCGATCAACAAGGAGACAATAATTCATGTTGCATCAGATTTAGACATTAAGACGCGATTTAGGAAAATGTCAAGTTAGCTCTGAAAGATTGTTATTGATGCGTTGATCAGAAGCTAGAACGTGGGCATATTTATGCAAAAAGAAAATAACTGATGGTGTTCAACAAAAATCTCAAAAGTGTGGAGTGCATGTTTTTCCATCCTCCCTGAGTCAGAACTCTGAGGTCCTTCTGTCCTGCAGCTTCTGGACCGGCCAACTCACCTGAAGCACCTCCAGCTCTGCTGACTGACTCAGGTGTTCTGATTGGGTTCTGATTGGGTTCTGAAGCAGAGGCCCGTCTTAAGGTCACAGGTGCCGCCCCGCTGCAGAACCTCCTCTGGGTTCGTGTCCAACTCAGTCAGGTTGATGGAGACCATCTGAGAATTTCAGGTTTTGACCAGTTGAATTCAGGTCTGGACTTTGACTAGGCCATTTTAACCCATGAACCCGCCCTGATCTAAACCATCCCATAATGTTCCTGGTGGTCATCCTGCTGGAAGCTGAACTTTGACCCCAGTCTCAGGTTAGCTGCAGGGTTGTCCTGATTTGGCTCCCTCCACCTTCCCACAGCATGATGCTGCCACCACCATGTTTCACTGCAGGATGATATGCAGTTTTTCATTTGATTGTAGAACATGAAAATCATCAAGGGAGACCCACAGCAGAACTGGGTCAGAGTTCTACTGGACCTCCAGTTCCAACAAATCCCAGGAGCTGATCTGAGGACTCGCCTGGCCCGTTACGGGCCAGTTCTGGTCGGCTCCAGGTCAGATTACAAGTAAGACAAGGCTGGAAAAGGAAGGCAAGTTGAGAGAAGAGGGAATAAAACTGTGAAGCGTTTTGCTACAATAAATCAAAATGAAGCAGGAAAACGAGAAGCAGAACGAATGATGAAATTCAAAGCAACCCAACAGTTTGTCTCTATTCATGTTTGTAACTTCAGTGAAATACTGAAACATGAAGAAAATGTGCAACAAGACAACAAATAAATATGCAGCGTTGATGTGTGACAACAGCGTTTAAATCCACAACACCTGTGAGTCATTTCCACACAGCTCTACGTCTGGGTCAATTAGCTGCCTGAGAAACAGAGCTGCAGCTCAGAGGGACCTCGTTAAGACGGGAGGGGGGACACTTCGTTAATCAAGCTATCCCTCCAGCCACTGAAGCTCCTCAGCCTCTTCCAGTCTATTAGACAGCTCTGACTGACTGTAATTTTAAAGATTAGTCTGTATTTAGCTGCAGTTTTAGATAATTGCTGCACTTAGGAAACAAACAGATCTGCCAACATGACGCCACATTTGCATAGAAGCAGATCCTGAGAGTTTCTGCAGATAATGAGGCAGAAATTGTAATGATGACAGAAACAGTCGGCCATGTTTCAACAGCTTCGCTCTCCAAACTGGAGGACACTTGAAAATGTCACTCAGCAAAGTTAGAAAAGGTTAAACCACGGCTGGATGTAAACTCTGCTAATTTGCAACAAATTAGAAGAACATTAGCCCAGAAAAAGGATCTTAACCTCATTTTGAGTGAAGTCAGTTAACTTCAGGTTGAGTGTCTCGTCTGAAACTGGTTTCAGTTCAAACTCAGTGAGATCCAGGCTTCGTGCCACTTTAACTTCTGCCAGATTTATAAATATATAAAGATTCACATTTCAGCATCAAGCCAGTTCAAAGTTCTTTACATCATAAAAACATCATCAGTTATGAAACGAGCATTTAACATTACATTTTGTTGGGGACCAACATCAAATTGATCAAGCAAATACACAGAAAAAATGTTGATGAATTTTCCACTTACTGTTAAGGAAACTTTAGCCGGCTGGATTTTTAGCCTTTTCTATGCAAAACTGTTGTAAAAACTGTTGCAGTAATCAACTAATCGATCAAGATCATGTTTTCATTTTTTATTTACTTCACTTGAAATTCATATCTATTTTTTGTAAAAAAAAAAAAATATATATATATATATATATATATAGGCTATATATATGTAAATATATGTATATATATTTTTATATATATTGAAAATATTTTTTATTTGATAAACGAAATTTATTTTTTAAGATTTATTTATATTTAATTAGTGAGTTATTGTTTTTCTAAAATATATTTTAGAAGCTGAATGGATTAAATGATTCCCCAGTTCAACAGAGCTGTTAACCTTTGACCCCTGAGTGAATTTCCTGTGGGACAGATTTAAGCGGGACACCAGCTGGAGGCTGCGCTCTGTTAGCTTCTTGGTTCCGTTAAATCTGGCGATGGAGACCGAACCGAACCAGTTAAACGGTACTTATTGATGTTGGTGTTGATGAATGACGAGTTAAATAGATTTATTTGACTTTTTTCTTCTGCCCTCATTTAGCTAACAGCGGGAGTTTCTTCTTCTACGTTCATGTAGCTAACAGCTGGGCTTTCTTCTTCTGTGCCTACTTAGCTAACAGCTATTATGTTAAGTTGCAACTTAGTTTCGCGTCTAAAACAAAACCGAGTTAGTTTTTGTTAGTGTATAAAATTGATTGTTTGCAGATAATCTAGAACACAGATTATTAGTTTGGTTTAGTTTCTTTGTTGGTCATTAAAAACAGCGTTTTAGTGTTTCTGGAAGCTTCTCGGTCAGAGGATGATGAACGCCTTAGGTTCTGTTTCAGCTTCTTGTCCTGGTTCTGATCCTCAGGTCTTCATGGTTCTGGGAATCGGGTGTTTGGGTTATTTTTTGTTGGTTTTAGGTTCACCTGGTCTCTACGTCACTCATCGCCTCCACAGGCTCCCTGCTTGCTTTGCTCCTGCTGGGTTTTGGTCTTCCTGGTTATCCAAGTTCCTCTTTTTCTTCAACACTAAATCGTCTCAGCACTGTTCTTCCACTTGTCAGCCTCTAGATCCATTTCTTGCTCGGCTCATGGATTTGGTGGAGAGAGTTGTTTTTGTCTCTTTGTTGGCTTCCTGATTGAGGCCGACCAAATGGGAATAAAACTGCATCCCTGTGACGAAGTGCTGGGAGAAAAGAACCAATTTAAAGCTGGTTCTGGTCGGGTACTGTACCTACTCATCCCTTGAGTTTAACAGCTTTTTATGTCTGAGTGACTCTTAGTTCGCAATAAAGCAACCCTTCCTCTGACCATGGCGACGATAGTGGGTGGAGATTGGAAAAAAAGCAGCTGATGTCCAGAGAACCCCCTAAAGACGTTTAGATCATTGGCTCCAAGCGACTCATCAGAACCAGAATAATGGCCGCCGGCATTAATTAAACTGCCTGTTCCGTCTGCCGTAGGGTCCGGCCGAGTCCCGTGGAGGCTCATGAAGGCCCAGGTGGCTGTGGCGATGGCCGTCATCAGAAGCAGACCCCCCGGCGTGAGCAGCCGACAGCACAGCGAGGCTTTGGGCTGCACACTGAGGCGACAGGACGGCGCGTGGCGTGAGCGGGCCCAGGCGCTACAGGAGGAGGTGCTGAGGCTGCAGCAGGAGCTGCTGGTCTCCAGGGCGACGGACGACACAAACAGCAGCTGGGAGACGGCAGGTAGGTCTTTGTTCTGCACAGCGGACGCACAGAATCAGCAGGAAGTGGGTCTAATGATCAGCAACGGGTTCTGGAACTGATCCGCTTCATTTGTCTAGTGACCAGTAGAGCTGATCATTTGCAGCTGCTGGTCTGAAACGCCAAGGTCAGAGGTCAGGGAGGCTGCTGGTCTTGGTTTCAGTCAACAAAATGGCGGAGCTAGCCCACCACAAAAAGTGAGGTGATGATTTCATCATTAACTGGAGCAAAGATTGAATTGATTTCCTGAAGCTGATTAATCCGGGCGCCATGTTGGACACAGACCCTTTTCTCTCCTCGTGTCTCGCTCCTGTCTCTGCTTCATGCAGACGAGTCTTTGTTTCAGACGAGTCTTTGTTTCAGACGAGTCTTTGTTTCAGACGAGTCTGTGTCGGAGCAGCAAACCGACTCAGGAACAGCTGGAGAAAACAGCTTTTCTCAGAAGAACTCGCATGATGGATCCATCGTGGATCCGCTGCACGTTTCTCCTCCTAACGGCTGCAGGGAGACATTTAGGAACTCTGGGCTGTAAAAGTAAAAAATATGGTTTCTTCTTCTTCTCTCAGAATAGCAAGCAACAACTGTGCAGCTTTGATTTAAAGGCCACAGACGTGTTTTAGGGACTCTTTGGACCAGAGCCTCCTGAAAATGAGAGGAATATTTCATGTCCTGTGTGGACGTGCCTCAGAGAAGCTATCTGAATTCAAATGTGTATTTGTATGAAAATGGCTGTGGCCACATTACTCTGTCTGCGGCTCCTGATCGAGCCTCTCCGGGCTCCTTTATATTCCCGATGCAGCGCCATAGCAACCAGCTTTTTCTTCCACAGAAAATCACAAAGAGGAAAATGTGAAAGTGTAATTTAGTCCAATTTTCCCCTCGGTGTGGGAAGTGTTTCTCAGGCAGGTTTGATGTTTGTGATTTTGTACGTAAAGAGTAATTTCAATTTGTGAACGAAGCCGTAACGAAACAGAACCAGACGCTGTCGGAACCGTCCAAGGCGATTTGGAGCGTCGGAGACCTGATCCCAGGGGATTATAGGAAATGATGACTGTCTTTATGCATTTTCTGAATTTTACACAGCATGAAAACCCAGCTGGTGCTCAGGTGAACCTCCCGGTGGCTGAAGCTGCAGGTGGTTCCCAAACTCACCTGGAAAAATCTGGAAACGCCTGGGAAGAAAAGATGAGGCAGGAAAACCCAAAAACGACTTTCGGTGAACAAACGACCCTAAAGGAGAGGTCAAAGGTCAAAGAGCTGGGTTGGGTTTATTTCTCTTTGCTGAGTTCTCTGATTGGTTCATTTCATGGATTATTTGTCCCTGATGGTCATGAAGACTGAAGGTGACGATGGAGCGACACCCTGAGGTCAAAGGGCAATCAGAACCAGGGTGGTCCTTCAGTTGCTGAGGTACTGATGCCTTTTGGTTCCAGGAAGCTGTTAAATCCTCCCATAATCAGGAACTGTAGTGTCATGATGTTGGGTTATGGACAGAACTCTGCAGGTTCTGGTTCTGGTGGTTCCAGGAACGAATATCTGTTGATCCAGAAGTTTTCTTTCTGTTTCCATCTTTCAGACGAAGCCATCATGGAGGATCTGTCTCAGGATCTATTTGGTCCAGGAAGTCCAGCTTTCAGTGCCGATCCTCCCCCAGACCGTGACTCAGAGACTCCTGACCTCCTGCTGCATTACCCTCCTCCTCCTCCTCCTCTTCCCTCCTCCTCTTCCAGACTCCAGACCGATCCCTGGAGCGACGCTCTGCTTCCTCACATGCGGTTCCTTCAGTCTCTGTGTTCCGTGCAGCGCCTTGACGGCAGCAGCGTGGCTCTGGCACCAGAGGGACACGGCGGCTCAGCGGCATCAGAAACCGTCTTCCTGCTCCTGGACAGCGTGGCGGCGACCTGCAGGGCCCCCCTGCCGCCGGGGCTCCCCGACTTGCTGCCCCAGGCCAGCCGGGCGGCGTCCCGGGCCTTGGACCTCCTGTGCTGCGGGCGGCCGTCCGTGGACCTGCAGAGACGCCTGGAGGAGGCGCTGAGGGAGCTGACCCAGATGCTGCTGCACAGCCAGCGGCCTGGCAGGGTGAGTCCAGATGGTAATGTCCTGGTCAAAGGTCAGTAGGAGCTGGAACTCGTCTGCAGCTTTTTCCAGCAGCCTGATTCTGGGATTCACCGGATCAGGACCTGCAGTCCTCCAGAACCTCAGACCGGTTAGCAGCAGGAGCAATATCTGACTGAAGCAATGGTTCCGGATGCAGCTGGGAACGGATCAGTGAACGAGAATCCCATGATCTGGGATCGGACCGCCAATCTTTAGCTAGCAGACGCGTGAACAGCACAGCTGGTGGAAACCAGACGCTGAATCTCCTGCTCCCTCCAGCTCCTGAAGGCCAGGGCTTGTAAAAATGTTTCATGATATTCAAATGAAGCTCAATGCTTCGTCGTCGTTTTTCTCTTCAGAGTTGAACCGAGGACACAGATGGAGCCGTTCCTCCAGTTTCATGGCGAGAGAGCAGAAAAGATGGCTGACGGCAGCCAGCAGGGCTCCCAGCTTCAGCTCTCCACTCAGACTCTGCTTCCCTGTGATGCTGGAGATGAGGAGTGTCGCCTCTTCCTCCTCTTTAACGCCGAATCGTCTTCTGTCTAGATTGAACTGGGACAGAACCAGTCCGGCTGTGGAGAAGCGTCTGGAGATCCAGGAGGGGAAGCTGCTGGTCCGTCACCTGACCCGGATCTTCCTGCTCCAGGCTGACTCAGCAGTTCAGCTTCTAGCTGGATCTGTGGCCCGGTTTACCACTCCTCCACCACCGTGCTTCACAGCTCCTCTGAGCTGTTTGTGCTGATCAGAGTCTGAGCCGGAGGGCATTTCTCTGACCTCTGACCCTAGGACGTCTGAGATGTTTTCATCTCTGGAGATTGATGGGCTACAGGTGGTTTGCAGATGAACTTTGACCCTCCCAGGTTGATGGTAGCAGGAGTTGCTGCTCTGAGGTCCGTGGTGATGTCTTTCTGCTTTTCCTAGTATTTCCTGTGAAATTGCGGAGGAAGTTTCTCTCCCTGGTTCCATATTTCATGGTAGTTTTGGTAAATAATGGAG